AAGAGGAGCAAAGTCAACATCTGGTATGGAAGATGGATCCTGAAGATGCTCTTCTGTAGCATGATTCCCCATTCCCTTAAGATGCACAGATTAACTATTTAGATCCACAGTGCTTCCTGAGGGAAATGCCAGTGCAATCTTCCCCTATGCTCACTCCTTGACATTGTGAAAAATCACACCCCGTTGCAAGAGGAAAAGAACAATAATAACAGTTTGCTGCTGAAGTGAACTGAAGTGTTGTGCCCCTGACTATCGGTAAGATCACCACCTGGAATGTGTTTATTCTTGCAAAATGTGTTTGAGCAGTTCAGGAACTGCCTGAGAACTTGTGGTGAACTGGACAGTTGTTATGGTCAAGCTGAGATTTTCTTCCATCTCTTGTGTGGTCTGCAGCTTCCCTGAAAGAGATTTTAGTGCTCACTGTTGTTAAACCCTCAAAGCGCAGTAGTGTGGAAGTAATGACTAAGCATATAGGCATCTATCTTGTATTACCTTTAATTCAAGTTGATGTACGTGACAGAACAGATCTGTGATGGCTGAATGCAATGAAAATGTGGAAAGGACTGTCAAAGGCAGAGAAAACTGGACTGCTTCTGTGGTTGGACTTACCTCCCATGTTTGTAGAAGGTCAGTGTTGCTGGGTATAATCATGCCGTTCTCATCTGTGGGAAACAGGACATCTCCCGCCTGTCAGTTTAGATTAAAAATGTCTGTAACATTCCCTTTAAGGAAGCTGGCTTTGTAAGTAAATCTAACAGGAATATTGGAATCTAAAGCTAGTAGTACATGAAAAAAACCCTGCATGTTAGTTCCCATCATAAAATAGTACAGTTTTCAACCACTTCTTTTTTAATACAAGCAGTGTCATGGCATTCTTTCTATCAACTATCTTCATTATGGCACGAAATTCTTCTGGATCCCTCATTTACCCTTCCTGCAGGGGGTACATTTGAAATGAACAGCCATTGTAGTTGTGTGAGTGAAAGCTGTGTAGCACGTGCTTGCACCAGGGAGGCTTGAGCTTGGTTCAAGTTCTTCCTCCATGTTGGGGATGTAAAGGCTCTTGAGTGAAGAATGATCCTGGGATGGAAGAAAGTATTCTGACAGTTTTAAGGGATGTGATATTTGTGGCTACAGTGGTTTATCTTGTGTTGACAGGGAGTCTACCTTGCTAGTTATATTGTTTTGCAGGCAGATGTTCCACTTGGGCTCTGTATCATGCACTGGCCACATGGTACAGCATGCAAGTGGAAAAAAACCCTGCAGACCCTGAAGACAATAAGATCAGGAGAGAGGTTGCAGTGGGAGAGAGAGAGGAAAAGTGCACTTTGAAACATGGGATGCCCTGTTGAGACTACCGTTCGAATCTATCACTAGCATTTTCCTATTCCCTCTCCTACTTGGTGTTTCACCTTCTCTCGGGGGTCAGTAAGTAATATTGCATTTGCTTGGGGAGTTTCTGCTTGCTACTTACTCAGGTTATCTGAGTGCAGGCCTATGTGTGTGTATGCGTGTGTTGAATAACATTCATTACTCTCTGTGCTGCCTTGAGTGCCTGAGTGTGTAGCTGCTTGCTTCTGCTCCTGAAATATCCTGTCTTTCAGATCCAAATGTACCCTCAATCACTCCCCCATTATCGAGAGGACAGATGATGTCATGCAAGCAGTGCTCTTGTGGGCACAAATCCAGAGCCTGGCTCACATGGCCAGAGTAGAGCTGAATGAGCAGTGCCAGAGAGATGTGATATTTCAGGACAGGAACAACAGTGGTGCTGAAAGCATAGCTGGCAGCTCTGAAGATCCTACCCAAGAAAGCATGTCAGTGGAAATGCCATTACTGTACCTTGAAGCCTGAAGGCCAGTGGATGAGATAAAGATCCAGGTAATCCAGTTTTAGATCGGCAAGGGTTTTCTGGCAGGCTCCCTTCACAAGATGTTTTTCATGAAATGTGGAAAACAGCTGGAGACAAAAAACCAAGCCACACTCAGCAGAGAACAGTGAGCCTCAATACTGAAATAAGAACTGAGTTGCTCCACAGTCACCTGCCACTGCAGTGCTCATTTCCTCTGCTGTTCATCAGGGTGTTGTTAGCACACTGGTAGTGCCTCTGAACGAACCCATTACTTCAAGTGATCTCAGAGCTGTGCGTCACTGATTTCTAACTTTGTTCTGCCTACTTGGCTCTCCATCTCTTTTCCTGCTCCCCTTCACCCATGCCCATGCTGTGCAGGTGTTCTCTGAGCTCCAGTAGGGGCATGAGGTGCAAGGCCACTGCCTTCCTCATGCCGCAGCACTTCTCCTTCCCCTCTACGAAGAGCCAGGCTGTGGTGCAGAAGCACATAGTGCATTGGGTGGAGGAAGAGTGGCTATTCTTCAGGGATATGTATAGAAGGAACCATTCACAGGGAGAGAATGAGCTGAAGGAAGGAAGGAAGGGCTTCCCCTTGGCTTTAGAGACAGGTCCTTGCTAGTACAGTGCTGTCTTCTCCAGGTGATTTCAGACTGAATGGGGAGCAGTCTGTCAGTGAACTGGGAAGAAAAGAGGGTTTCTGCCCACCTCTGCTCACAGGTCAGCAAGCTTGTTGTCCCTGTCTACAGAAGAAAACCACAATCACTGGTTTTCCAGTATCAGTGGTGCATATGCTTCATAATACTGCATAGGGACTGGGATGAAAAAGTAAGGTTGAATCAGGAATGACAAGAAGGATGTTAGGAATTGCTTCAACCTTCAGTGTAAAACTTGACTCTAAGCTACCTACTCCACGAATAGCATAGGCAGAGCATTTCCCATCCCCTGCTTTGGGATGGAAGGACATCAGAGGTTTACCTTACTGACAATGAAGAGGTCCTCTCGTTTCACAACGCCTTCCTTGATTTTCTGCTGGATCGCATCCCCAACCTCCTTCTCGTTCTGGTACGCATAGGCACCATCGAAGTGTCGGTATCCAGCATCGATTGCAGCCATCACTGCAGCTGTCACTTGTCCTGGTGGGGACTGGAAACAACAATGATTTCTGTAGAAGTTCAAATCACTGCAGTTTGAATGCCCGTTTCCTCGTAAAAGATGAATGGGAAAACTACCTTGCAGAAAGTAACCCTCCCTGATATTATTTTTTTCCCAAGATCAGTGCTCTGAAACTCAAATCCCTCCTCCTGCCATTACTCTGTAGCCCCTCTCTCACACAGGCTCAGTCCCGCAGCCAGGCAGAGCAGAAACAAGCGATCTTGGTGCCAGGGATCTCAGCAGTACGAGTGCTTTTTTGTCAAGCTGTTACCTTCCAGGTGCCCAGCCCCAGGATGGGCATCTTGGCTCCGGTGTTCAGCTGCACGTAGGTCGCCATGGCTCCTCAGGCTGCAGGCTGGCTGTGCTGTGGCCGCTTCCTGCCCAGCGTATTTAATCGTGATGGTGCTGCCTCTGGGCGGGGAGGGATGGCGGAACTGCATGTGTATTTGATTTCTCACGTGTCTTGCAACAAGGTTGTGTTTTAATCACTTCATACAAGTTAATGTTTAATCTGAAATCAAAAGTGGCAAAAGTTATTGTCAACACAGGGCATGCTGCAGCACAACCCATGGACTTTTCTTCCCAATCTGTTCTTTTCTAAAAGGGGGGTTGAGGGTAGCTGTGCCCTGGCACTGTTTGCTTGTGGAGGATCTTGTTCGTGTGCACAGTTGCAGGCACATATCTTGGTAGTGATTGGCAACACACTTCTAAAGTTTGCCCTGTTGGTTTCTACCTGTTTGAGTTACAGTGGCACTTTGTCCCATGACTTGGCATTAATAAAGTCAGAGGTTGAACTATAAAGATTCAGCAAACTGGAGCCCCATGACATGGTGTGAAACTGTTCACACACCTGTCCTTTGCTGGTTCAGATGAATGGTTAGAGACACGTGAAACAGCTATATAGAGGAGGAGATCATTCCCTTGACCCAGTGGTGATTTTATCTGTACTTCAGAGAGTGGGAAGCCAGACCCAGAGCCAGAGTTACTGCTGAATTCCTGCAGAGCGCACATGGTGAAGTGGGGAAGTCAAAGTAGGTCCTCATTTTTTTCAGAATCTTAAGAGGATGTCACGGAGTTAACTAGATCAGTTTATGCCCATGACAGGGGGCAGTAGGCCCCTGCCTTCCCCACCCCCCACCTGGCCCCACAAAATGGGAAGGAAGGAAGGGGGGGGAAAAAACAGCGGCAACAATCTATGGAGGTAAACTTATTTTACTAACTATGATATCGGAATGCAAGATAACACGATATAATACAATCTAATTGAAATTGAGACTAATATCTCAAATAAGATATGAGAGAGAGTTCCCGAGACCGAGTCAAACCTGAAAAAGCTTGGAACGGCTAGGAAAGCACCCTCCAGCACCCACTGCCAGGCAGTGAGAGACCGCCACCCCGGAAGGGTCAGATCCCGTGACTTCCGCAATGTATAGGGACAGGTATGTAGAATTAGAGCATTAACACTTTAATTCCAGTACATGATGTTTTGATGTGGAATACTGAAAATCAAAAAAAAAACCATAAAACCATGACAGAGGACCATCTTTCTTCTTATGAATTGTGGAGTTGCCTGTTTGTTGTTTTCACTTCTAATTATTTCCAGTTATTGGTATAGACTAGAGAGCATCCTTATGCAAAAAAAAATAGGACAGAACCCAGATGATTGAGTGAAGGGTGTATTTTAGTGTTTGTATTTTAGTGTCTGTGCAGAGAGGTGGACATCCAAAAAGCAGCAACCATATTCTGACACTGCCATAGCACAAAGAGCTTGAAGTGATATATTTTGGCTTCCCAGGCAGCACCAGTGAATCTGGTTCTGAGGCTGTAGGAAGGAGCACAGACACAAACAGAGGAATGTGGGGAGAGTCTGTGGGATATGAGCTTGTAACTATCCTGAAGATAAGGCGTTTAACCTAGCTGTACTAGGTGAAGTTGTCATTTTTCGATCTTCACTAAATGAGGTGTTTTGCTGACAAAAAGAGTTGCAACTTGCCAACAAGAGGGTAACTGAAGGGATATGAGAGAGGAAGAGGATGCCAGTAAAACTGTGAGTCAGCAGCCAGCAAAGCCTTGGAGGTGCTACTATAAGAAGTGTTGACGTCAGTGAAATTTGAAATAAGTACATGATGTTTAGGCTCATTGTTCAGTCAATAGGGTGAAAATGTAATGCTCTTCTAAGTTATTAAGAGATGTTTAGTCTCCCAAGAGTTTGAAGGAAACAAGATGTTACTTACAAGACCATCTCATAGATTCTCCATTTTTTGTGTAAGCTGGGAAAGAGTGTTTCACAGTATTGCTGTATTTGCAAACAGGGGTTTAGCAAGGTGAGAGCAAAATGAACTTTCCTTGTCTGCCTTGCAACCAAAATTTTCCACAGAGTGGCATTTGGAGTACATGGAGTGTCCACTTTGTTCTCCCTCTTTTCATACCCTCTACCAGCTTTATTCAGATCTTTATAATTCCTGAGAACTACGCAACTTGGTTCATAGTTATCAGCTTACTTGGTTTATAATTCAGTCCTGGCTTGTTTTGGATTCTTTCATTCTGATCACAGTTAATGCTGGAAATTCTAGTGGCTTTTACCAGACTAGCATCTACCAGCTCTTCCACGGCCTAGCAGAGTGCAGTGAAGTCATTAGTCATGATGCAAGACAAGGCCTGAATGCATTCTTCCTGATATTCCTTGTTTCCCTTCATGAAAACGGAGAAAGAACTGGTGAGCTTGCCCAATTTTATTCTCTTATGGAAAGGTGAGTAGTGATAATTTCTGCACTGTTTCTGACATTGTACCCATCTCAAACTCTCTTTTGTTTGAGCGGAGAAATTCACACTTCATTACACAAAGAAAGAAACACCACCCATCTAGTATTTCTGGCCAATCGAGGCAGGTATTTGCACTGGGCCCCTCAAAGTGATGAGTGTCAGGTGAAAGAAAAAGATGGTAATAATTATGTGGAGATCAGGGCTGGAAGATCTTATCCCCAAGGTGCCTTGAACCTGTACTTTCTGATTAATAATACCAAAAGTGATAGTAAAAGATCCATTAGTAGAAAGGCCTAGTTGTTTTCAGTCATTCATTAGGTGGTTAATTCCCTCTCTAGAAGCTGCAGAATTACAAAAGACTATAGTTAACATCTCAGCTATTATGAAACACCTAGAAAATGAAACAGTAGGCACTATTATTGCCCTTAAAGAAGTTCAAACCTTAGCCAAAGAAGTATTGCAAAATAGAATTACTTTAGATATGTTATGAGTTGCACAATAATGAGTAAATGCTAGTTGTTGTTTTTATGTAGATCAAAATGTTAAAATAAAAACAGACATATGTAAGATATGGCACCAAGCTGAAATGCTACATAAAGTAAGCCAGGATGATGTAAGCTGGAGCTTAACTCACCTTTTAACCAAAATGACTCCTGGCTTCCCAGATTAGATTGGTTAACAAGTTACTTGTAGGAATAGTGTAGGTAGGAGCTGTATGTATCCTTGTTTGTTGTATGATTCAATGTTGGGAACATATCCCTAAAGGTGAAGGTCAAAGATGGTAAGGATTAAGATATATACATCATAACCCTCAAAAGAAAAGGAGGGGTGGATATAAGCTGGTTTGTTTAGCAATGGCTATCAGTATGTTAGTTTAAGGACTAATTATATTAGTTTACCAAAAGGAATCAATGAGTGCTACTTCTAAAACTTTCCATTTCAACTTTGCTTGGTGTGTGAACAGCCTTGCTTTCTCTTAATTCTGCTTCATGAGAAGCACTAGAGATTAATAAGCTACTGATATCTGCATTAAACTAGGTGCAAGGATGTTTTCCTTGAATTTTCACATATATTATTTTGAAAGTTGCTCATTATAGCATAACAAGGCATGGAAATTTGCCAAATTGGGGAAAAAAAGCTAAAAGTCAACCAAAAGTCTCAGTGATGAAGCTCATGGTGGAAAAACAGGGAGAAAGTAAGTAAGCATGTGACCACCTTAGATGCTACTGTGCATAGCCAGAGATCTTGGAAAAGAATAAATATGTTCCCCCAAGTAATGCACATGTATGTCTTAACTGTTTAAATGTAGAACCCGAACTCTGAGAGCACGCACTTGTTTGTCAAGTTGCTTGGAATGTATCATGAGGAATAAAGGAATGATGCTTCCTAACACCACATTGGATGACATCTTGTCTTACCTGGCCCTCCACGACATTATCATTTCCCTTCCCCTAATGCCAATGCTCAAAAAAGATGGAAGAGAAGGGTAAATTCATAGAGATTTCATTTAATTAAAAAAAAAAAAAATTCAACCCCACCATCCCTGCAAAAACAATTCAGCCAGTAATAATTTCACGCTTAAATTTACTTGTATTTAAAATAGGAAAGACTTCTCATGCAATGGTGGATGTCTGTTAATTCTTGTGGATTCTCAGCCTCTGCTTTGCACTGATGCAGGACTGAAGGCACTTGCTGAATAGTGGTTCAAGTGTTCAAACTGTCCTCATTTTCCTCTGAGCAGTTCTGCCAGATGCTTCAGTAATTCTCCTCTCTTCTGATAAGCAGAAAATTATTACATCCCACATTTTGTTCCGCTGGGCAATACTCCTTCCATTTTCCAAAGAACGAAATTGGATGGAAGCATTGGAGTAAATGTACTTTGACTTCACTGGCAGCAACAGGGCAGACGCAGTAAGAAAGCTGGATACAGATCTGAAAGCTAGGGGAGAGGCACATGAAACACCAGGGGTCTAGAGAAGG